TTAAATTGGATTAGGTCGCGATCCTAATTTGACCCAACTTAAGTAAAATCAATTGAAAAATAGTTCTCAAACACCTTTGAATTAATTTAAAAGTAGCAAAAACTGGAATAATTTTCAGATTATAAATCTTGTTGTAAAAATTTAAACCCATAGACAGATTCAATTTTAAGCAACAAGATTCAATACTTCTTCCAAAAATTCTGGTTTCATATGTTATTTTTTATGAAATCAGACCTTAGATGACATAAAAACACAAAGAACACTCTTAAAGAATGCTTCTAAAACACAAACTTGTTCCGGAACTTGGACAGTATTGAAACCAAACATGTTTAGAAAGTTACATCATGAAAAGTCAATAATGCTTATCCATTGCCAGTACAAGGCAGTAAACGCATAAACCCATATTAAATTGAAAACAAACTTTGGTTTTGAATAGCCATCACAGGTTCAGAACTAAGAAAAAATCAATTGGAAATATGTTCCATATAACTGAAGGAAACAAAACAACACAAATTTGAGAAAGGAACAAGGGGATTAAGAATTCAAAACAAATTCTACTTTGACAAAACAGAAGAAAAAAACAGAGAAAGGGAAGGGTTTCGGATGCAAGATCCGAACCCCCCCGGGGTTATTACCCTATGTGTTGAGCTCGAGTTCTTGCTCTCGATATGTGGTGGTGATGTTATTCGCAGCGCCTCCCTCAATTTATAGGTGTTCTTCGTCTCTTCCGTCTTCGATTAGGACTCTTCACTTCTGAATTGGCGTTGCAATTCTTGCTGCGGATTCTCCGGCTCCGGGATTTGCGCTGCTCCGTTTCTTCTCTCGCCTCTTTTGATGGAGATGAAAAAGATAATGAGTAGGAGAAGGAGTCCTCCTTGTGTGAACAACAAATCAGATAGGGCGCAGCTTCTCTGGTTTCTTTCGTGTGTGCAGCGGAGGATTGGACCTGGACTGTTTCTTTATCACCATATGTTGGGGTATAGCCCAACGGGATCACTTTTACGTTTTCGACCCGCATTTTATGCTCCAAAGATATATATAATAACCTTTGTCAAGGAGAATATGGGTCCACAACAATAATATTCAAAAATAAACTAAAAAGTGTGCATTATGAACATATTTTATAAACGGTGCCTAGAATGCAAATATGATCATTTGAGTGTAAAAATGCACTTTTTAATGCCCGAAAATACTGATTTAATAGAGAATAATTAGTGAATATTTTGGACTCAACACCCTATCCGTAACATCATTGATTGCATGGCATAGTAAGAAATGGTGGAAAGTGCTGACTGAGCAAGAATTCTACGACCAGCCATTGTTAAGAGCTTGGTTCTCCAACCTTCTAATTTTATTTTATTCGATATTTGAAGAATGATGTAGTGAAGAAAAACTTCAAAATTAGAAATGTTTTTTCACCTCATGCATAGCATGAGTTAAAATACTAGTAATATTAAATTTAGAAGTAATATTTAAAAACACCAAATGTTTCTCTACTAGATTTAAAAGTTATATAAAAGAAATAAATATTTATATTTTACTAATATGAAATTAAAAATATTAAAAATCTAAAATTAAAAAAATGTAATATAGAAAAGTGAAAAAATAGAGAGTACTAAAGAAAGAAAGAAGTCAGCAAACAAGGAAAGAACAGTAAAAGACAGCCGTGGTGCGCGTAATGGTGATCACCGCCATCACGATGAGAGAGAAGGGGGACAATGTTCCCTCCCGGCACATCCAATGTGGCGGCCAATTCAGTCATTACGACCCATCCCTTCCCCCCACACTTCATTGTCATAGGACGAAATAAATAGAATTAATGTAAAATAATATGATGAATCGATGATAGATTGATAAATGTGATATAACAAAAATAGGATCACGTACAGATAATTAAATTTTTATTCGAAAGTATATATATCCAAAAATATCTCAATCGAAATATATCCAAAACTAATCCAAAAGATATTTGAATAGGGAAAATCTAAACTTCAACGGATTCCATTGATCCAATTGACAAGTCTAGAGGCAACACACATGTCTTCCCGCTAATATATCAATCAAATTGAAAAACTGAATCGCAAAGAGAGAGCTCATTGATTGTCGCTCCACCTAAACTAATCCAGAAGGTAGCGGATGATCCAGAATACCAAAAAATGGAAGCAATTCGTCTCCGCAGCTCACCGATTTGTTAGGATTCTGACATCGATTGGATCAGCATTCGGCCTAGATTGGAGCAACGAGTCTGCAAAATGAAGCTCAACATCAACAAGGCCTGCGATCTCAGCTCCATCTCCGTTCTTCCACCTCATGCTAGGTATGAAGTTCATATTTCGCGAACCTGTTTGTTCGTGCTTCGTATCGTGCTTTCGTATGCGTTTTACTGATTGTTGATCTTATATCAAACACTGATTGAATTGGCAGTGGTAATTACCGGTAGAAAGCATTAGATTAGATGTTTGTCTACACTCGAGAACACAGATTCTTATCTTGAGTAGACAAATCTGATACTGTTTTTTTTTAATATGGAAATTCGGAAAAGGAGAACGAGTAGTGTTGGACCGAGCGGAGCAGAGACCTCCGTTTTTGGGAAAATTCAAACTGCACAATTCCGTTCCCAGCAATCTCAGCAGTCCTTTTCTCAAGGAGTTTCATCTCAGCCTGGAATGTTCTCTCAGTTCTCTCAGAACTCTCTCGATGAAATTGCTATAAGCGAGCAGGTACTGCATCTGATTCTAGTTTGTTAGTCTATGTAGTAATGTTTGCTAGTGGCTGTTGTCTCTGTAATAATTCTGGCGGCGCCATGTTCTAGTTCACAAAGTGTGACTAAAGGGCTTGCCTAATGAGATGACTAGAATGCCTTTAGGGTTTAACTAATGTGAATATGAATTATAAGAGAGTAATTGAGTTCGATGACGAGTGCAATTTTTTCGAAAATTCAAACTGCACAAAGCCAATTATAATAACAACTCTGTGTAAAAAAATAATTGAGAAACTGTTTTCCTCATACTTCTGATGCATTTACTAGTCATACTCATTGCCCAAGCTAAACTCTGCAATCATGGTGTAATGTTTTAGAGATTCGATTCTCAAGAAAAAGAGAATTCTGCAAGGAGAACATCTTGTTTGCCTCTGATCAACCACACAAAAGAAGAGAGTCAATTGCAGTTGCCAAGGAACTCAAGCAATTACATGCATAAGCGATCTGCCAATGAATTCAGATGTATGCCTGGCTTTCAACTTTACTAGTTTGTTAACCTCAGTTTCTCTCAAATTGAATAGCAAAACTTTGTCCTAAAAGAGTGATATCAGGAATTAACGACAATTTGGGATATCTTTGATTAATTTTAGATTTTAGAAATATCATTACACAAATAGGAAGTGTTAATTTGATGAACTGCTGCTGAATTGTTTATTTAACAGGCCAAATCAGCGAACAACTTGAACACAGAATTGGAGTGATGGAAACATCATTGAATAGGTTGGGAATGATCCTTGACTCCATCCAGAGTGACATAATACAAGTTAAACGAGGAATAAAAGAGATGTCATCAGGGAGTAAGTATTTGATACACTATGTACACATGGTCAGAACAAAAATCCATCCTAATGGCTTCTCCTAAGAACTCTTTTCATGCCTACTGCTACACCTCTGAACATCTAGTGTAGAGCATGTAAAGTACATTAATATGGTTACTACCTGTCTATACCTTGCTAAACTAAGTCTGATGAGCAGCCATATGCATATTACCTATTAGTCGAAAGCATAAACCTTTCAGTTTGTTTTTTTTAAAATAAATTTTACATGTCAATGTCAATGCGAGAGGTTACGTAATGGATACTATGGTAAACATTGTTTATGTTTTGCTGTTTTGTTTATTTTAATTATCAGCCGAAAGCTTATGGAAGAAGTTGGTGGCTCATAATGAAGCAGTGCAGTTGATGGTAACAATAGGGCAATACCTGGCCCAGTCTTCTTTTCTTATTCATATGTGCTAATGTGCATGCTTTTTTTGGCGTAACTTCATGTATTTATCTACTAGCAAGTGCTTAACTTCTGACCGGAGAAAATGGTATAATTCAGAGCTCTGGACAAGAAAATATCAAAGCAAGCTTTGAAGGACTCTCCAAATCCATGAGTGAGGAGCTTAGGCGGAATTTACCTCAGGAGCACCTCAAAGAGATATCCACTATCGTTTCAACACTGCCTGACAAAATTGAAACTTGTATCGTCAAATTACGAGATGATCTCAAGAAAAGCTTGATGGAGGAAATACAGGCAAGTGTCCTGACAAATTTTGAATATTTGATGAACATTAGTACATGCATATTTGAGTGCTGCAAATGAGTTCGTGGTTTTTTTATCCTTACTAATGGCCTTAATAGCTTTGACCTACTTGTTGAAATGCAGGCTGTGGCACATAGCATGAAGGCTCCCTCTCAGAAATTTGCAGTTGCCGCCTCTCAACCTGAAGTACTTTTTCTTTCCCAGAGAAAATGCTACGGAGTAAATCTTTTTTAGCACCTTTATTTTCTTTGATTGCATTTTTTTAACAACTTGGTTTTCGCAGGTTATCAACAACCGTATTGCTTTGCTTGACCTGCAATATTTGAAGTATGATCCTAAAATTTTAACCATTCATTCGTTGTTGCTAGTTTATTTTCTTGCAATGGTGTAATCCTTATTAACATGTACTTAATGCTACGTACTTCTCAAGTACCCTATCTGCACTGCCTCAAATAAGAGATGTTCGTTAGGTCACCCAGAGGTTACTTTCAACTCCTCTACCAGGAATTGAATGTTATCCTAGACTTAATAAACTATTGGATACTCATTGTATGAGAAATGTGTTGAATGGCCTACTGTTAATGACCAACCCCTGATGTCTCAATGATTTCCTTCGTCATTCTATAGTGTTGAAAAGCATGGCAATGAACAAACTTCATCTTTCCCGAAGATTGAGATGGGAAGCTGGAATTCTGTAAGAGATAAACCAGCCAACAAGAACGGAATAAATTCCAATCAAAGACTCAACAGGGACTTATCCTATGTTCAACAGGTAAACCTTTGTGTCTAAATAAATGTCCACCGGTTCACAAGGGACTACATTTTGGTTCATATGGCTTTGTTTTTGTCCTGTTTTTGTGCGCACTCTTGATAAATGTAAGTTTTGCAGGAAACGCAGCATAAGGTTACGGTAGGCCTAGAAGAGGATAGCGACGAAGGGTTTTCTTGCTTGCTTAATGACCACGGATCTGGTAATATCACTTGTTTCAATTGCCATTAACTTTAGCCATCAAATACTCATCTGACGTTCAGATGAATTTTACACAATGGATCAAGTAAAAACCACAATACATTTCCTGAAATTAGGTCCCGTGAATTACACGATGGATAATTCAAAAGAAGATATTAAACGGATGCTGCGGAAAGCCAGGAGGAGAAAGAGAAAGCACTGTAACACGGTTATTATAGATTGATTGGTGATGACAAGTTAGTTTACCATTTCACCCTCATCTGTTGTTTTACCAGTAGCAAAAGCCATTTGTTATTGTTAGCAAGTAAATTAAATTGTACACTCTTCCCTTTTTCACCTCAATATACCCGTGAGAAAAATATTCAGCCTGCCTGGTAACGTATTACTCCTTATGTTGCTTCCATTTTGTGATTTGATAAGAAAGAAGAAGAAAACTGCATGCTCCCGACTATAATGATACGTAAGTAAACATGCAAAGTGAATGATGGGGATGAATCAACTCTTTCCAACACGTAACAAAACCTTTTATCAATCCCCACTATAAGATAGTGTAATTAATTAAGAACACAAAAACCACCCAAAAACAACACAAGGTTGATTATGAACATCATGAAGACGATGATGGGAGCTTTGGTTGTAACCTTGTTCCTTGGCACCTTTTCTGTCTCAAACAGCCTCCCAACTGGCGGTCGCCGGACACTCGAAGAGCAAAGCTCTTCATCCAACTCCACCATATGGAACCCTTATGAACTGCGACCACCGCCACCTCCAACCTACCACTCTCCTTGGTTCCCGCACGAGAGTTTCTACAGTCGTTTTGACCCATCAGTCGCTGATATCATCAGGAAAGGAGTACAAGACATATTGTCAGAGTGGAGGGACCACCATCTTCCTCCACTCTACCACTGCCGCTACACTTGTGACCAATACATCCTGAGTAAGCCGCCAACTGGTGAGAAACCCAACCCAACATCGCCCGTAAAACATAACACAACCCCTCATGACAAACCAGCACAACCACATGCTCCGGCGAAACATAACCCAGACCCAACACCACATCCGAAACACAACCCAAACCCAACACCACCACCGCATAGCGAGGTCCACTGCCCTACAATGGACACAGTGATTCAAACTTGCACAAAGATGCACCCGCATGAGACAGTAAACGGCGTTTACTCGTGGAGTTGCACACACAGCGATGACTGTTGCAAAAAAACGGTTAATGTGCAAGACGAGTGCATGAATCTCAATCCAACAATCAGTTGGGTTAGGACTATCTGTTGCACTGATAATACAACTAAAGGAGGAGATGAACCCAATGCATGATTCGATCTCATAATGTCCATGAAGTTCGTATCACAACCATGATTTTATATTTTATTGTTCTTATTTATGATCTTAGCTAATGTCTCAGTCCAACTATTTTGCTTGATGCTATCCAAGTCTGCACAGGTGACACTAAGACCAAATGCTTGAAGATGAAACAGTAATCATATATCTTAAGTTGGGATCATATTCCTTTGGATATATAGACCAATAAAAGGAACTCCTAAAAATAACTAAACCTACTCTTTATTATGCTATTCTTAATCGTTCCTTTAAACCCACATCTAAAGAACTACTGTATGTGTTTATATAGACTAATATAATATATATATTAAATCATTATGCTCAGCTCAACTTCCCTTCATTTGACTGATCATTACTACATGTTTATAGCAACATACTATAGAACCAATCATCAAACATCACAAACCCATTAAACCAAGATATTTAGCTCTCTTTTTTTCAGGTAGGCTAGTTAACAGTATAATATTCTTAAAAACCCATGAGTATATTTATGTTTTCAGCACTAGCAGCAAAGCAAATGGGATTAAGCAGCTTTGAACTTTAGTATGAAAGCGAAGATCAAATCGTAAAAACAGTTAACTCTTCTCAAAGAATAACAAAGTGTTCAATCTTCCACGGCTCATAAATGCTACGAAGTTCATGAGCTGCGATAGATGAAAGTCAAAACCAGACGATTAAAGCATCACGAACTAGCAGTATTCCCTTCCCAATCTGTGCAATGGGTGCTATCAACCCTTCACTTGAAATTCTTAATTCACATTCTATACCCTGTTTTAGAGACACAGAAAAAAACTCAACTGAAAATTTAAGAAAGAAAACAGGCATCATATGGATAAAGGTAAATCTCAAATCCAGGAAGGAATACAAAACCAACTCAACACAAGAGAGACGATCATGGTCACCAAAACAGGACATATGTTTGAGAAGTTCGATTACAAAGAGACTTCAATTAAAACTGAGAGTGAAATTGACCCGGTTCATCAAGATACATACTGAGTCTACTGCTGCTGATTCTGATGAGGCTGCATTCCAGGACGAGGTGGGCCATACATGGGAACCTGGCCTCCCGGAGGGGGCATTCCAGGGCGAGGAGGTTGACCGGGGGGCATACCAGGGCGAAGGGGAGCTCCGGGTGGTGGTGGACCCCTCATCATCTGAGGTGGAGGCATCATTGGCCTCTGACCAAACTGGGGTGGGAACTGCCCAGGTGGAGGAAGACCTGGTCGGAACTGTGGTGGTGGCGGCATAGGTGGCCCTCCAGGTCTAGCCATCATGGGTTGCGGTGGTGGAGGCATTGGTTGCCCAGGTGGAGGTCTCATCATTGGCGGCTGTTGAGGGTAATTGATGGGCGGAGCAGACACCTGAGGCATAGGAGGCCTCGCTAAGTGGGGCTGCATCATCCCCGGAGCAGGCCCACCAAGGCCACGAACAGGCCCGGCAAGTCCGGGCTGAGCCTGAACCAATGGCCCTGTAGGAACACCCCTTCCGGCGGCGCGACCCATCCCTGGTCCAGGAACAGCATTCGCAGCAGAAGTAGCCTTCAGGCGGGACTCGTCTGGAGGAGGCGGGCCCTCAACGGCCATGGAGACGACCTCTTCGCCGCGGAGGAGGATGAGGCCCAGCGTTCGGCGGTCTTCGCGCTCTTCCTTGGATCCCTTCGTCGGCGGGAGCTTCCGGAACTCTTCACAGTCGCCGAGAACGAGATTCATGTGGCGGTCAAAGGCCATGAACTTGCCGATCAGCTGACGGCCATCCTGGATCGTGACTCTCATCCGATAATTGATGTACTGTAGCATCTTCGAACTCTTCGACATCGACATTTTCGCTGAATCTCTGGTGTGGACGTCTCTAGGGTTTTGCCCGTTTGAAGAGAAGATGAAACCCTAGGGCTTGCGATGAAGGAATGAGGCGCTGGATTCAATCGGATACTCCGTATTTCGAACTTTTTATATAGAGTGAAAACTATTTCCCCCCGGAGTATCAAATATTTACACTCTGTTAAAAAATTGGGTTGTGTGTTTTTATTAATTATTTAATGAAAAAATAAATTCTTCATTTCTTATTTTGTATACTTTTTAAATTTTTTTTGTAAATATGTACATTTTATTTTTTATATTTTCATATCAATCTTAAACTAAAATGAATTGAAAAACATGAAATTGTATTTCATTTTGCGCAAAGTAGTATAATTTATTTAAAGACAGAGAGTATCAAAATTTTAAAAATTAGGGAGTACTACATAGAGGGTGTTTGGCAGTGTGCTGTTTTTAATAATTTAGCTTCTGCTTTGAGTAGAAGTGGTTTTACTCTGTTTGGCATGTCAGCTTCTCCTTTTCACTACCACTATTTTGTACATAGAACACTGTTTTGGAGAAGCAAGTATGTGGTGCTTTTGCTTTCAACTTTTGTATGAATCATTTTATCCCTAAGTTAATCACTCTCAAACACGCTCATAGTACTCTATATTAAACCGTCTGTTTCAGCTTACGATGTTTAATTAAAATTATTTTCAATTTAAAATTGGGATAAAATTAAAAAATTATTTATACAGACTATATGTCAAAACTACATTAAAAAAATCTTTCATTATAAATTTTGATCGCTAAAATTGTAAATACTCTGTATACAATCTCGAAGTTAAAAGGACAAACTTACCTCAATATTCTACTAAATGATTAATTTTACATTAATACTTTAAAATTAAATAACTAATTAACATCACCATAGAAGTTTCACATATTTATAACGTTTATTTCGTGAGCAATGCTAGATTTACAAACAAAATAGTTACAAAAATCACAAACTTACCATTTATGATTCAAATTTTTATTTTGACACTATTTTAGACTAATTTATTACGGAGTATTTTTATTGAAGTTCACAAATACTTCGTAATAAGTTTGTGAATTTTATAATCATTTTGAATATTAGTATACTATTGATATATTGAATAAATATAAAAATGTTTTTTATATTAGTCAACAACAACAACCGCCCAGTAGAATCCTACAAATGCAGGGTCTGGGGGGGGGGTTTCTACACAAACCTTACACCCACTAAAAGTAGAGAAGCTATTTTCAAGAGTCAGCTCAAATAACACAAAAATCATGTTTTTTTATATTAGTATGCTATTGATATTTTGAATAAATATAATGATGTTTTGAGACCATTTAAACTTTTTTAAGCATTATAATCTTTTTTATGCATAATCGATATCAAAGGTTGTGTTGTTGAAATCGAACCGAACATAACCGACTATAACACATTCAAAAGATATCTGAACTAAGTAAATCCAGACCGGAATCGATTCTATTGATCCAACTCAAACTCTTCATTCTTTTTCTTGGAATGCATGGTGCAATTGCTTTTAATTTAAAATGTTGTTTCCGTTACAGAATTCATTCTTAGTCAACTATTAGTTGACTTTCTAAGTATACTACTCCGTAGTATATGTTCATGCCATTTCACCGTTCCAAAGTTAATGCCAAATTCTCTTTTATGAAATGAGGGCTTGTCCTTATTGAGACCATTCCTTCATTTCCTTGCACACATAATGGTATGCACTATATCACATTTTCACATATATCATGTTGTTAAAAGGAATTGTTGGCCCTTATTGTACGTCGAGAATAGGATTTCTTTTGGCTTTTTATTATGGATCTAAGATGATATCTCCAGTGGTAGATTACTGCTCTCAAAGGTGTACCAAAATCATGTTGATCATAAAATACCACATTTGTGTGTTGCACCCATTATTGCAGCAGACAATTGTAGCATATGCGTGCACATAGAAATATATGAATTTATTTGCAATTATTGCAAATATCTGAAGTATTAAGACAAATAAACCTAACATAATCAAAGTCAAATTTGAAACATATAACCAAGTGCTAGTTGCAACAACAACAACAACAACAATGCCCATAATCCTGCATTGTTTCCACACAAAAGAAGGTGTAAGTTGTAACTTCACCAACCAATCTTTATTAATTGGGGATTTTTAGAAAGTTAACACCAAAACATGTGCATAAAAGGCTGTGTTGTTGAACTTCATTTTGGGAGAGTAAATATCTCCTAACATTTTCCTAGATAGACATGTTACATACATCGGGTTTCGAGAATATATGAACGCAGATAAAGCATTATATATCAAATGCCCATATACAACACTAAATTTAAGAATGATTGCAGCAAAACATATCCTCATTGACAAAGCTTACAATTTTTCAGTACATTCTTCTGAGCTAATCCCCCTATTGTCATGACTATTTAGCTCACAATACACATGTGGATTAGGTGTACCTATGTAATTACAACAAGCTAAACAACGACTTAGACCAGCCAATCAATTCTCTAAATCAGCCTCAAAGGCATCGTCAACTAAAAATACCATACCATACCATACCATACAAGAAAGTGAATCTGGTCAGCTTACTCCCTTTTTCTTTTGAAAGCACGGTGAAATACTCCATTCTGCGGCTCTAATTTATCAATCTTTTCCATACACTCTGTTATTTCCTTCATCTTCCTTGACACACTTGATACTGCATTTGCATTGCTCAAGAACTTCTCTTTCAGGAGCTGCAATTTCTCGGCCTCATCCTGCTCTTGTTTCCTCAAGGAACCTACTGCTTCAGATTCAACAGCTGCTAAATCTGCCAACAATGAAGATTTGATAAATGCATACATTATTTAAAAGATTTCTTGTTAAGAAAAAAACCATTGTTAAATTCAGCATTAAGAATCTGTTTGGTAGCCAGCTCTGGCTTATTCTACTCATCACTAGACTAAGCAGCAGAAAAGGTGACTTCTGACTTGTTTCTTCGGCTAAAATGGAAGTTACCATTTGTTGTTTCTTTATGAAAATTCAAAAGATTTGGCCATTTCAGTCATGCAATGGTTACCAAGCAGGGCCCTAAGATCCCCAATTCCATCTATAAGTACACTTTTAGATTTCGGAGGAATTCATAAGCCATATATAAAGCTTCCCTACTAGTTCAAATTACCACAGCATTGCCAATTTGTACTCCTTTTGGATTTAACTGTATGACTCAGCATTTGAGTTCCAAAGACACAAAATAAGCTACCGCTGAATTAAAGTCGAACTTTTTTCGCAGCACATCAGTACAGAAATGTGATTTACTCAGACAATACAAAAATCCAAAACCCTAGGGGCTAAGAAAGTACCAGGTGGATGCGAAGGTCCCGGCTGAAATTGGGAACCGACATCAACATTCTTTTCCACCACGAGTGAGGTAGATGCAAGAATAGACGGCAGATTGGTCTTGAGCTTATCCAAAACCGCGGCCCGGTAATCTGCAAGTTTCTCGGCCATTTGGTTAACTTCTTCCTCCAGCTCGTCGTTTGGAGACCCTGGTGTTCCGACTCTGGACATCGTCGCCGCCGCTCGCCGCCCGGCGCCGCGAGGGTTTGCCGAGAAAAACAGACAGAGCAGAGCGCCGGAGCTGACAAGCGGGAGAGGAAGAGAAAGTCGGAGGAGAATGGAAAATTTGAAATGAGCCGTCGTCCGTAGTCCGCGTTTGCAAATTAACGGACTATATTTACAAAAAATTAAAAAACCAAATTACGAGTACAATATGCCAATAATATAAGAGCACTGGAAATACCCTTGAAGCCCCGGGGCTTCAAACCGGGGCTTCAAACTTTCTCTCTCTGCCACGTCAGCTTTAACTTACACCCAAATTTACGGGAAATGGTTTTGAAGCCCCGGGGCTTCAAACCTTCATTTTTTACATTTTTAAATATACATCTTCTAAATTTAAATTTATAAATTCAAATAAATTTATTATTTTAATTAATCGCAATGACACTATTGCATAAAAAAATTAAATTCATTATAAAAAAAATCTTACATTCATTAAAAAAACATTAAAAAAATTACATTCATTAAAAAAAATTACATAAAAAACAACAGTACAAAGAAATCACTAATTATTCGAACGACTAAAGATATGCTCGATCAAATCCGCCGTTAGTGCATTGTGAATCTCTCGGCTTCGAATTTCTTGGCGGTTGCGTCGTTTCTTTTCTTCGGTGATTTCTTCGTACATAGGCACCTCCTCGTCCGGGTTGTATTGACAAATCGCAGACCCGTTATCCTCTATGATCATATTATGAAGAATAATACATGCGTACATGATATTCCTCATTTTTGTCTGAGAATAACATTTCGACGGACGATCTAGAATGTGCCACTTAGCCTTCAAGACCCCAAAGGCTCGTTCAATATCTTTTCTCGCCGCCTCTTGAGCTTTTTTGTAGGTTTGGCGTTTAAGACCCATTGGTTCGGAGAGAGATTTGA